GCCCACGCACCCTTTGGCAATTTCTTTTTTTTTTTTTTCTTAAAGAATTTTTTTTATTTAATATTATTATTTTTACCTTGACCAGCAAGAGAGACAGAGAGAGAGAGAGAGAGAGAAAATGAGCCCTCAGATCACTAGGGCTGGGACTCAAACTATGGTCAGCCATATGGGAGTCTAGCACCCTAACTACCATGCCACCTGCCGGCCCCAGCACTGACTGTTTAAAATGTGTTGAGGACATGATTTAATAATGAATTTTCGGAGCCAGAAGGAATCTTAAAGATGCCCTGAAGACCCTGACCCATCCATTCACCTCGGGTGTTTGTCTCTTCCCAGTCACAATTCCTCCAGGGGGCAACCACCAGTGACATCTGCCTGTCCCTCCCAGAAAGGAGAGGTCTGCCCAGGGTCACCGAGTCAACCAGGCAGGAGTGAGGAACCAGAGCCAAGAAGTCTCAGGTTCTCCTTTCCGGGAAAGACAAGCGGCCACTCCTGTCAAGTGTCAATGGGGTTTGAGTAAGATGGAACTGAGAAATGCCATTATAAAGTAGTCAGACTAAAGTTCCTATTTTTTTTTGGAGAGATTTTCGCTATAGGGCACGTGTACTTGCCAGACAGAGAGAGACATAGAGACAGAAAGCGAGAAATCACCCCCCCAGGGAGGATGGTCATGCCACTATCCCTTCTCCTCCATTCTCCTCCCGGGATCTTGGGCACGCACGCACACGCGCCCGGCATGAGTTCTAAGCCACCAGGTCTGAGACACGAACCACGGTCGACTACGTGGGAGTCCAGCGACATAGCCGTTACACTAACTGCTGGTTTCCAAAGTTCCTTTTTTTTTTTTTTTAAGAGAAATTTTTATGCTATAGGGCTCATGTGTTCACTGGAGAGACAGAAAGCAAGAACTCACCCCCCAGAAGGGATGGCCACACCACAATCCCTTCTCTATTCTCCTCTTGGGATTTTTGGGTACACAGGCACCCATGTCTGGTGTGAGTTTTAAGCCACCGGGTCTGGGACTTGAACCACAGTCAAGAATGTGGGAGTCCAGCAATGTAACCATTATGACATCCACTGGTCCCAGACAAGAGTTCTTTCGACAGAATGATGGAGACATAAACCAGATTGGAGTGGGACAAGCAGAGGGTGGTGTGTGGAAACAGCTAGTGTAGACAAGTCTCAGGAAAGTCTGCAAAGTCCTGGTGAGAGCTAGAGCCCTTCAGCACGCCTCTCTGCCTCCCGTGGCAATACAGATGAGCAGGCCCTGACTGCTCAGCTCCGGTCAGGGGGCTGGCGGTGAAGCAGAAGCCTGGAGGCAATGACAGCTGAGCAAGGGACCCCTGCTGCCGAAGGAACCAGGATACCAGGCAGAGTGAGGGCGTGGCTCACCGCACAGCAGAGGCTTCAGAACGGCGGTGGAGGAGACTCGGAAAAGGCTTTGCAGCCATGAGCCCCATCCAGAAGCCTTCTCTACCCAGTGCTTCTCAGCTCCAGCCCAGCCAGCTGCACTGGTTTTCGGGTTTTTGAGCAGTGGGGATTCTAGAATGCAGAATTGTCATTGAAGTCTCTCTTTCTCTCTCTCTCTCTCTCTCTCTCTCTCTCTCTGTCTGTCTCAGTCTCTGTCTCTCTCTTTCTCTCCAGTGAGTGGATGCAACTTCTAAAGTGAGAAAGCACCCCTTGGAGGGATGGCCACATTGCAGCCCATTCTCCTCCAGTCTCCTCTTGGGATTCTGGCCACGTACGCACATGCCTGTTTGTTTTTCAAGCCACTGGGTCCAGGACTTGAACCACCCAGTCAGCTATGTGGGACCCAGCTGCCTTTACCACCACACCACCAGCTGGCCCAAAGTCTGTGTTTTAAAGTCTGTCTTCTGGGACCAGGGGATGGAAGAATGATTATGTCGCTAGACTCCCACATAACTGACCGCAGTTGGAGTCCCAGACCTGGTGGCTTAAAATTCGTGTCAGGCGCATGTGTGTGCATGCTCCAAATCCCAAGAAGAGAATGGAGGAGAAGGGATTGTTGTGTGACAATATTCTGGGGGCGGGGGTGGTTTCTTGCTTTCTGTCTCACTCTCTCTGTCTCTCTGGTGAGCACACATGCCCTAACGGGGGAAAAAAAAAATCTCAAAAAAGAAAAGCCTGTCTCCTTATAAGGCAGGTAGGCAGGTGTAGATTGGTAGTCCCAGCGTACGCTTCCTCTGGTTGGTGCCTCTGCTCATTCTGAAAGTGTCCTGGTTTTGACGATAAATTATACTGTCCTCCCCAGTCATAATGGCCCAGAGTTTCACAATGAGAAAGAGGAAGGCTCAGGAATACGCATGGCAAGAAACACTTGGCTTCTGAGTGACTTGTTTATTGCATTTTGATGTGCAGATGTCTATAAGTACTTTTATATAAAGACGGAGGAAATTGGCTAGAACGTAATCAAAGCCCTACGTTCTTGGGGACGTTTTCTGCAGTTGAGCAAAGAGGAGAACCAAGAGTGAGCTGGTACCTTTCTGTGTACTGATGAAAGCCAATTAACAAGCAAAAGTTTGCTGAAGTCAGAGCCCCGGGGGTAAATGACAGGGAGCTAATACTGAATGGGAAGGAAGAAGGGACAGTAAGAAGAGCTGAGTTGGAGATGACAAGCTCTGATGGGCTTGCCCACACACTCTCCACTGGCCCCCCAGTGCTCCTGGCAGCCCGACACCCAAGATCTCACCTGGCATGGAAACCACTACCAGACTGGAACCCACACCAGTCTCTAGAGCGCCTGCGCCCAGAAGGGTCTCGGTTTCTATGAAGTTCATCAGCTTCAGTAGAAAGATAACACTTGCTATATATGGGGCCAGACAATGGCATAAAACTAGTACAAATGCACTCACATGGAAAGGTCCTGGGTTTGTGTCCCAGGGCATCCTTCTACGCAAGCAGCATGATGACCTAGACTGGCTGAGGCTAAGGGTAGATCGCAGCATGAGAATCCTGTTGAGGGTGTCCCTTTCTCTCTCTCTCTTTCTCTCTTATGGAGAAACAAATAAGTGAACATTTTTTACACAGTTTATTTTATTATTACTTGATTTGTTATAGGGCATGTGCACTCACCAGAGAGGGAAACTGAGGAAGCAAGCCACCAGGTCCAGGACTCCAGCCAGGGTTGGCCATGTGGAATCCAGTGCCTTAAATACCACGCCACCTACTGGCCCATTAAGTGAACTTTTAAAAACAGATTTGCTGGAGCCAGAGGCTGGCATAGCAGCAAACCTCCACACTGCAAGACTGACCCACATCGCAAGATTCCCATTTGTGTCCAGGGATCACCGTGAGTGTGCCAGGCACATGTATATCCATGACCTGGGGCTGGCTGGGGACAGACTGTGATATTAAGACTCTGTTGGAAGTGCTGCTTCTCTGTCTCACTCGCTGTCTCTCTCATGGAAGAAATGAACTTTAAAATAAAGTAGATTTGCTATGGAGAAAAAGGTGTGTCCAAGGCTGTTGAGAACATCAGCAAA